TAAAAGAGGAAGAATAGAAAAGAATATTGATAATGACTTTCTTACTTATTTAGTTGAAAATGATCCCATATATAATAAAACTATGACATCGGTAGATGCTACTATGCTACTTTTTAGAAAGATGCTATAAATAGTGAAATGGATTCTATTATAACTAATAATACTTGGTGCTTAACTAATCTTCCACCAGGTTGTAATACAATAGACTGTAAATGGATATTCATAAAAAATTAAGAACGGATGGAACTATAGAAAAATTTAAAGCTAGATTTGTAGCTAAGGAGTTTAAACAAAAAGAAGGAATAGATTTCTTTGATACATATTCTCCGGTAACATGTATAACCACTATAAGGGCTTAATAGCTATTGCCTCTATTTATAAATTAGATATACACCAAATGGATGTCAAAACGGCGTTTTTAAATGGAGCATTAAATGAAGAAATTTATATGGATCAACTCAAAGGTTTTGTAACTCCTGGACAAGAAAGAAAGGTATGTAAACTTGTAAAAAAATTTTATGGATTAAAACCAGCTCCAAAACAATGGCATGAAAAGTTTGATAAAGTAATTCTTTCTAATGGGTTTAATATCAATGATTCTAATAAATGTGTGTATATCAAAAAATTTGATGGTGCTTGTGTTATTTTTTGTTTATATGTTGATGATATTCTTATTTTTAGTAGTAATCTGGTTGTTGTTAATAACACTAAGAATTTCTTATCTAGTAATTTTGATATGAAGACCCAGCTAATGTTATATTGGGTATTAAAATATTTAAAAGTGATAAAGGAATTGTTTTGTCACAAGAACATTATGTCGACCACTTGCTAAAGAAATTTAATTATTGTGGTGCGAACGTTGTATCTATTCCATTTTATCCTAATATTCACTTAAAAAAAAATATGGGTGAAAGTATTTCTCAGCATAAATATGCTCAACTAATAGGATCTTTGATATATCTTTCTAATTGCACAAGACCTGATATTTCTCTTGCTGTTTGTAAACTGAGTCGTTACACTATTAATCCTAGTTTAGAACATTGGAATGCAATTGAAAGAATTTTTAAATACCTTAAAGGTACAATAAATTATTATATTCATTTTTGTGGGTTTCCTATTGTGCTAGAAGGATTTAGTGATGCTAATTGGATAACTAAATCTGATGAAACTAAAGCAACTAGTGGTTATGCGTTTACTTTATGTGGCAGTGCAATAGCTTGGAAATCTTCTAAACAAACTGTTATATCTAGATCTACCATGGAAGCAGAACTCATTGCCTTAGATTTGACTTGTACCGAGGCCGAATGGCTAAGGAATTTATTATTTGATTTACCATTATCTGATAGTCTTATACCTGCTGTCTCTATTTATTGCTAAAGCAAAAAATGCAAATTTAAATGAGAAAATGAGACATATTAGAATAAGACATAATCCTATTAAGCAGTTATTATCTCAAGGTGTTGTAGCACTTGATTTTGTGAGGTCTAAAAAGAATATAGCAGACCCTTACACTAAAGGATTAGCGCAGGCTAGTCGTTGAATCATCAAGGGAAATATGACTGAAACCTATAAATTAGACATCACAATGGATACCTAATCTTTGTGATTGGAGATCCTATGAATAAGGTTCAATAGGTAATAACGAAGTTGATGTGTGACTTGGAAGAGCACTAAAAATAGAGGGAAATTCCCTAGTTCTATTCCTTTGGTGATAGTGCTCACTATTGTGACGGGTTTTAAGAAAAGCTTAGCTCTGAATGTATCCAAGGTAGGATTTCTATAGGGTGTTGGTGACAAATCACCCTTGGAGGATACACCTATATAAGTGTGGTAGTGGGGTCGCTGTTGTGGGAAATTATGTTGCTCCCTAAAGACACTTTTAGAAACAAGATATGTGTGCATGACTGTTTAACGCATAAAATCGTTCCAGAACCATGATAATTGCCCGTACTGTGCGTGTGGTAAGCCTATTTTTGGTCACATGGACCTAGTTCAAAACTTTGTTTACTATGGTTTCTTCAAACTGAAACTTATTAACACTAAGTGGAGGTTCAAGTCTAGAAGACACATACACCCACTGTGCAGTAAAACACTCTTTTCAATTTTAAATTATATGGGGGTTTGTTATTTTATAATTTTAAAATTGTATTTAATTTGATATTTGAATCTTTTTAGGAATAAGTTTATAACATTATATTAGCTTCCTAGTCTTTAGGGATATCCTACAATATTTCCTAAATATGTAAGTTATGGTTATTTAATTGTGTATATAATAAGACTTCAACGTTGTTTTCTAAACAGATAAAAGAAGAAGTCTTTCTTCTCCTATTCTGTTATTTTCTTTGTGAGTTTACTGTATTGAGTTTAGAAGCGAGTGTTGGGCAATTTAAGGTTCTTGAATTCACTTTGCTGCACACAAGTGATTTTGAAGGTCATTGTATCTTAGGGGAGAAACAACATTCAACTCAGTGCAAAAAAGGGTGTATTGTTCCTAAGGTGAGCGTAATCTACGTACCTTAACCACCATTCCGGCTTCTCTAAACTTTCTCTCTAATAATAATATTTATTTGTTGTTTTTAGTTTATTATTAGTTTGGTATTTTTATTCTAATAGTAAATCCTATTTAATTCTCTAACAATATGGCTAATGATAATGTCTAGCAATTATTGAATTTACCATTTCAAAGTACTAAAACCTACAATAATAATATAAATGTGTCTAAAAACATAATAAATTATAATACACACAAATTAGGAGTCGAAATTATTTCAAAATATCAATTGATGTCTGTAGACACAAATTTTGAAACTTGAAATGTTTAAACAAATTTCAAAATTCTTGTTACAAATGCCAACTGTTTAGTTTTTGGACTAACAATATTAATTATTTGAATAGCAGGTTCTTATTTTCGATCTGTATTCTAAATCATTAATTACACATTTTATTTAAATGAAACATCTGATTAATGAAGAATAAGAAAATTAACAGAAAACAATATAAGGAAAAGAAATATTTATTAAAATTGTTGTGAGTTTTAAACCCTTGAATACAAAGTACAATTCTTGGGCTTGGAACTCTTTACCTATTCATTGCCATTATGCGTTTGTAGCGTAAGCTCTTGAGTTCTCTGGGTTTCTCTTCATCTTTCTTGTGAGGACTTCTTTAACTCCTGATTTCTTTCTCTCTCTCTAACCATTGATTGTTTGACTTTTTATTTTCAGTCCCTTCTTTTGTATGATTTTTCTCATATTTATAGAGAGCCATCCATGTGATAAGAGTGCCTCATCTTCAATTTGAATTTCAAATTGAATGATAACGCCATTTGAATTTTAAATCAAATGATAAATCTATTTTAATTTAGGCGTAACTATATCTGATTAATCGTATATCCAATTAACCGCATTGATCTGTTAGATTTCATCCTGTGTGGTGTCCTTGTTGTAGGCTCCACTGGTGTCATCTTTCGTAGGCTCCACGTGTCATTGGAGTATCTTGAATAACGTCACTAAGATACGATATTGTTTTATTTATGCACTTCAACAACAATTCTATCATATTTGAAATTTGAGCAAAATTTTGGTTAAAATTTATGTGCCAACAAATGCACTCTCGTGACTTGCACAAGTGAATTTTCTTAACTGTGCTAGTCATGGCAATTTGGCACTTTTATCTAGATCCTCTTAGATCTTGGATGGGATTATTTTTTTTTGGCCTTGATCCCTTTCGGCCACTTTTCAAGCATTGTATGCCCTTTTTTTAAATTTTTTAAATTTTTTTATTTTTCTATCTTTAAATTTAAATTTTTTTTTAATTTTTTAATATTTTATTTATGTCATACATGGACCCCCAAAGAATTTAATTAATCCTCTCTCTTTTTTATGGGTTGATTGCTCTTTCATAGTCCATGGGCCCTTTATTTATTTTTTTGTCGCATAGGCTCCTTTTGTGGACTTGATCCCTTTTGTTTTTCTTTTTTATGTAAGGTCCCAAAGAATTTAATTGGGCCTTTTCTTTTGTGAGCCTTTTCTCTATTCTATGTGGGTCTTTTACCAACTTGCCACCACATTTTTTTTGGAGGAGCCTTTATTTATTTATGAGACTCCTAATTTTTTTTTTTTTTGGGCCGTCATGAATATTGATAGGATTTCAAATCTTATATGAGCTCTTACTCTTTGAAATATTTTCAACCCTCCATAAATTTTTGCTCTTTGGAGTATTTCCAACCCTATATAAACTCTTGCTCTTTGGAGTGTTTAAGGAGATCACCATCTCTTTTCTTAAGCAAAACTCCTTGCTTTATATAACACCTATTCATCCACATAGCCAGCATATATTTTTTTCCTGCAGCTCTTTTAGTTTTTTTTATTCCTACAGATTTTGCTGTGCATATTAAGTTTTCATCCTTCTAACATCTTTCCTGGTATAAATTGTTCTTGGAGGGCACAAAAGATTCCCTTCTAATCCCTTCATATTTCCAGCAGAAATTGTTTTTTATATACTTTAAAGAAGGCACAAAGAATCCCTTCAAATTTCTTTTAATCAGATATGGTTTCCTTATGCCTTCATCATAATATGAACCTATTTGCTGCCTTCTTCTCAAATGTTAATATATTTTTTTTTTTGGGCACCATCCAACAACATATTTCTTTTATAGATTTCTTTTAGAAAACTTCATTTGGTTTGTAAAAAATCTGTGTTTGACATGCCCATCTTCTGTCTTAAATATTTTCTTTCAGCATGTGAATCATCATGTGACAGCCCTTCTCAGATACACCAAGGAACCTTTAGAGTGTTTTTTTCCTAAAGTTTTCTAAAGTGGTGTATTATGTTGTTGAGATTTAATGTTGAAAATTTGATGTGACTTGTCATTAAATCTCAACCATACAATGCACCACTAAAAAATTTTTAAAAAAAAAAACTCTAGAGGATCCTTGCCCTCTCAGATAAGCATTGGTTTTTTGCTAGATCATAAATGCAAGTTGTCCCAACAAAGACCATTCTTGAAAGGATAAATCAAACTTTTTTTTTATTATTATTTTATTTAACTTACTACCTTCTTTTATAACTACTAACTGGAGCCCCACGTGCTACGTGTGTGGGGTTGCATTACAGGTGATAAAAATAATACAAGAAGATAAATAGAGAGAACTTTTTTTCGAGAAAATCTCCACCACAAAATACACACTATTTTTCCCCCCTATTCTATCAATCATTAACACATCTAATATGAAATTATGAACCAACAAACAAATTGGATCCTTGTTGTCTTAAAATATAACTTCGTGGGTTACCGGTTCAAAGGATTTTCCTTCTCTCTAACACCAATGATAAGGCGAAAATTGAGAACAAATCCACCTTCGAGTTTTCCCTGTGAAGTTAATTGAAAAATAACATTAATAATTTACGTGAGTACAAATGATTTTATAAAAATGTGAATATCTTGACGAGTAGTTTGAGGGTGAGTATCTCGAAGAAAAAATAGTAGGTGCATTGTTGTTCATAAAACTAATAATGTATTCTCAATCACATAATAATAATAATAATAATAAACAAATAAATAAAAGGGCAAATTACATATACACCCCTCCAGGTTTGACAAAATTACAGATACCCCCCTGAGGTTTGAGAAATTACGAATTCCCCCCTGAATGCTATATTTGCATAAGAAATTAGGGGGTAATTTGTTATGAAATATAAACCTCAGGGGGTAAATTGTTATGAAAATACAAACCTCAGGGGGCGGGATGTAATTTCCGAAACCTCAGGGGGGTATCTGTAATTTAACCAAACCTGGAGGGGTGTATATGTAATTTGCCCTAAATAAAATTAAGTTTTTAAATCAGTTTATTACTTAGGAGTAATGTCGTAATAGTGGCTTAATGACTCCTGGAAAACGTAAATCCAAAATATAAAGAACCAATCATTTGTTAAACAAAGAAAACATAACATACACCACACATGCTTGCAATATGGGTCATGCATAAATTAATTCATCAAAATGTGTTGAGACATCTCTAGATATGAGACTAATTTTCTTTTAGGAAGTAGATTATCATGAAACATAATCATTTTTAAAATGTGCAAGTTCACCATTTACACTTTTGAAATTTCTCATATTGGATTTCATTGTCATAAAAAAATTGAAGTACTAAAATTAAGTTTTTAAATCAGTTTATTACTTAGGAGTAATGTCGTAATAGTGGCTTAATGACTCCTGGATAACGTAAATCCAGAATATAAAGAACCAATCATTTGTTAAACAAAGAAAACATAACATATACCACACATGCTTGCAATATGGGTCATGCATAAATTAATTCATCAAAATGTGTTGAGACATCTCTAGATATGAGACTAATTTTCTTTTAGGGAGTAGAATATCATGAAACATAATATTTTTAAAATGTGCAAGTTCACCATTTACACTTTTGAAATTTCTCATATTGGATTTCATTGTCATAAAAAAAATTGAGGTACGTCAAAATGTGAATACCAAAGAGAATTTTTTCACTCACCCTTGGACATAAACCACTAAGGCACTGCCATTGGATGCACCAGCAAGTGAAGTGATGTAATTCTTGTCCCACGACTCCAAAATCCACTCCTGATGAAGAATTTCAAAATAATAGACTTAAAGAGGCAATTGATAATCTGATTAATGAATTTTTAGAACTCATGGTAAGGACTACAAATAACTAGTGCAAGAAAACGGGTGAGAGTTCATAGACTTTGGATGTAAAACCTGTCCCTGCATCCATAATAACTGCCTACAGATTTCCTGAAGAAGCTAGGCAGCTAATGTATAAACCATCTTTCTTTCCTTTCTCTGCATGCTGGTGGAGTCTCGAATACATTATAACACATGTTTATTGACTCCCTACTTGAGTATTCTTTCAGAAATAAATGACAATTCTAATCAAAGGTAGTTTAGCTTTGAAATTAACCACGCTACGATAAAATTTCCAAGCCTATGAGAATCCATACATGTCAAAGAAAGTGCTTCGTCAAATGGAGAGGAACATGTTACCCATAATGACCCATGGTTTGACTATTAAAGGCTATGTTAAATTTGTAAGAGATGAAGAAAATAAATTAAAAGAGAATTTTCTATACCAAAAATTAAAGAAGAGAAATATATTTTGCCCAGCTTTACCCCTCTTTCATTGGTGACCTGGAACTATAGATCCACCGAGTGGTTGGAGTAAATTGAACTTTTTTGTGAGGCTGCACACCATCTTCCAAATCCACAAGCAAGCTCCACCATTTTCTGACCTACCTATAATATATGGCATGTTTAACAACAAATATTTAGAAACAACAACACATAAACTTTAGACAATTGCACAATTGCTCAATTGACATAAATCTACAACCAACAACCTTCAAGGCTCCATCTATTCTGATGGGTCGCAATTACACACTGGAATTGATGTTGTCTTGAGTGAAATAAGCTTCAAGTAATTGGGTTCATCAAAATTCATATTGGTCACCATCTCAAGAAATTGTTGGCAAAGGGAGAGTACATAAGGAACAAAGCACTTCAGGGGGAGTACCCATCTTCTTTTTAAAAATGAGGAATCCTTTATTCTCACCCTACAACCCAAGAATATACCACAGTTTGTAGTTAAAGCAAAAAATAAGAAGTCTAAGATATAAAAGCATATGGCAGTGCACAGTAAAACCAGAAATGAACTTACAATGAAACCTTGCCAAGGAAGCTTCCCTAAGGAGTAATGTTAAAGTATATGCTAGGGACTCAAGGTCAGCTCTTCTGCTTCCTATCCTGCCCAAATGAGCATGTACACTTGCATAACGTACTATCCCCTATCAACATATAGATCAGGGAAATAAGTACATGTCATTCTCTGACATGTCATTTATGATGGTATCAAATCACTTTTCTCCCTAAAAGACAGAGTAAAAATTAACAAGAAACCCAAGGGGGTGTGGCACTTTGGTAAGACTTTGTGACATAAGCCAGGTTCCACTCTCTTCGAGGCCAGCCACCAGGGCGATAGCACATATGGTTAGTAGAACAAACCTTCTAGGCCTGGGCAAACTATACCAAGTGTCAAGAGTGTAGGTTTGAATTTCTGCCTGTGTGCAAGTCCATGACTTACCGCTACATGATTGAGTGGCCTTGCTATGTAGCAACCACGCCTCTAGGGCCTCGGCTTCTTATAGGGTCTAGCCCCAAGGTTACCCCTATGTGGTTAGGCTTTTTTTTTTTTTTTTTAAAGCTTAACAAGAAACTTATGAGGCAAGTTATGCTTGCCAATTCTAGAAAACTAACTCCCCAAAACAGCCACCCAAAAATTAAGATAAATAGAGCTGAGGAATATTTCTTCCATTTTGGAGAATTACTTAAATGGAAGAAAATACTGAGCCTTGTGAAAGTAATCGTTGACACTAAAAGATCCACTTATGTTAAAATAAAAGGAAGTACTTTAAGTCCTCTGAAGGTAATTATTGGCAGCTAAAACTACTTCAGACATGCTTCATTGTTTGATACATGGGTTATTTTTTTACGGATTCAATATGTATGATGAAATTATTAATCATCAGGAGCAATGGATTTTAGGTAATTAGGTACCTTAAATTTCGAGCTGTTTGATTCTTCAAATGTTCAATGATTTATTATGAGCTCAAGGAAGGTGATTTGTTGTTAATTTTGTTAGCTGGTAATTAGACTTTATTCATGGTTGAGGCACCAACAGGTTTTCTATTTTCTATTTTCTATTTTCAAAGTCATATTAGCAAACAGGGTGGTGTGCATAATTTACCCACAAATTAAATTAAAGAAAAAATTCGGTCCGTGAAAATTCACAACCACGAAGTTCATTCGAGCATATTGTCGAGTACATGGTGGGCAGACGGCTTGACATTGCGACAGAACAGAACCGAACTCCAAATAGAGAAGTTAAGCATAATTGCATAATAGACAATAGGACGAAGATGACATACAATGAGCTTTTACCGTTTGAGGAAGAAAACAAACCACATCGTCCAGGGGCGGCTCCGAGGTTTGGTCAGGGGTGTCACCGGAACCTCCTGACTGAATTTATTTATTTATTTATTATATAAATATTAGATTTTAAGAAAAAAATTAGTAATTGAACCTACTAAAATATAATTTTGAACTCATAGTTTTAAGTTCTACTCTTTTGAACCCACTAATTTTGAACCCATATTAGATATTAGCATGTCTTTTTGCTTAACAATAGTATCAATATATTAAAATATTTTTGTTTATAATTTTAGAATTTAAATTAATTTGTTGATTTTTTTCTCCATAAGTGATATAATGATTAATGTGAATTTTCTGTAAAATATATGATATTTAAGTTTTTGATTGACACCACTGACAAAAATTCCTAGAGTCGCCATTGACACCGTCTCACCTCCTTAGAACTCACAGGTCAAGCAGAACAGTCATCAAAAGAAACTTCTAGCGCTTCAAGGTGCAGGTGTGTTTTTTTGTTTTTTTGTTGACACTTCAACCTACTAATGTAGGTTATGTTGGGCATAGGCTATTTTGATTATTTTAGTTCTAAAAAGATAAAATAATTTAAAAAATTAATAAGATAAAATATCACATTTAAATTATAATCATTTTATTTTTTTATTCATAAAGTTAAAAAAATAAAAAAATCAATTTTAAACAAAAAAATTTAATTTTAAATTAAAATAATCAAAAAAATTAAAAAATAAAAAAACTAACTCACATTCCAAACGAATATATTAGGCATGTTAGGAAACAGAATAAATAAGAGAATTTGATATGTTAAATTCAAAGTGACATGCTTACTTTCATTCTTCTATATATAAGTGATAGATGCAAGCAAATTTTTATAGTAAAAGATATAGACTACTGCCCATTTTCTATTAAAAATAAATAAATAAATAAAAATAATAATAAAAAAAACCGTGCTACATATATTGAAATATTTTTGTTTATAATTTTAGAATTTAAATTAATTTGTTGATTTTTTTCTCCATAGGTGATATAATGATTAATGTAAATTTTCTGTAAGATATATGATATTTAAGTTTTTGATTGACACCACTGACAAAAATTCATAGAGTCGCCATTGACACCGTCTCACCTCCTTGGAACTCACAGGTCAAGCAGAACAGTCATCAAAAGAAACTTCTAGCGCTTCAAGGTGCAGGTGTGTTTTTTTGTTTTTTTGTTGACACTTCAACCTACTAATGTAGGTTATGTTGGGCATAGGCTATTTTGATTATTTTAGTTCTAAAAAGATAAAATAATTTAAAAAATTAATAAGATAAAATATCACATTTAAATTATAATCATTTTATTTTTTTATTCATAAAGTTAAAAAAATAAAAAAATCAATTTTAAACAAAAAAATTTAATTTTAAATTAAAATAATCAAAAAAATTAAAAAATAAAAAAACTAACTCACATTCCAAACGAATATATTAGGCATGTTAGGAAACAGAATAAATAAGAGAATTTGATATGTTAAATTCAAAGTGACATGCTTACTTTCATTCTTCTATATATAAGTGATAGATGCAAGCAAATTTTTATAGTAAAAGATATAGACTACTGCCCATTTTCTATTAAAAATAAATAAATAAATAAAAATAATAATAAAAAAAACCGTGCTACGCCTATCCTTCTGATAAGATTTTTCCTAGTCCAAAGTCCTTGCTAGTAAACATTAACAATCACCTTTTTTTTTTTTTGGTTTTTTTTCAGAAATTTGTTTCCTTTGAGATAAATTTGCCCATCTTTGTCTTCTAACATTGGCCATGTTTGGTAGAGCTGTGGAAAAGTACTTATATCTTATACCTTAACAGCTTATAGCTTATAACTATGAACATAAGCTGATTTCTGACTTCTAAATTAAGTTTCTCCTGCCCTACTCAAAGAATGAGTTGATTTCTGACTTACAATATAAGCTGTATTGTTAAGCTAAACCAAACATATCAAAATAACTTAAATTAAGCTAAAAGCTGAAATAAGCTGAAATTAAACTGTACCAAACAGGGCCATTGTAATTTCCTATGCTTTGACTTTCGAGATCTTTATTAGATATATATATTTCACAGTAGCAACAACAGCATTTTTCAGCATATTTCCAGTAGGACACATTTTATTTTATTTTATTTTATTTTAACCTGAAATAAGGCAGCAACACTTTTCAGCATATTTCCAGCAGCATTTTTTTTAGAAGCTGAAACTTTTTCTTTTCTTTTTTTTTTCTTTTTTTTTTTTTTTTTTAAAAAAAAAAATTACTTGGAAGAATGGACAAAACAAATGGAAGAAAATTTTGTGAAAATTTTTCCTAATCCAAAGTCCTTGCTAGTAAACATTAACAGTCACCCTGTTTTTTTTTTTTTGGTTTTTTTTCAGAAATTTGTTTCCTTTGAGATAAATTTGCCCATCTTTGGCTTCTAACATTGTAATTTCCGATGCTTTGACTTTCGAGATCTTTATTAGATATATATACTTCACAGTAGCAACAACAGCATTTTTCAGCATATTTCCAGTAGGACACATTTTATTTTATTTTATTTTAACCTGAAATAAGGCAGCAACACTTTTCAGCATATTTCCAGCAGCATTTTTTTTAGAAGCTGAAACTTTTTCTTTTCTTTTTTTTTTCTTTTTTTTTTTTTTTTTTAAAAAAAAAAATTACTTGGAAGATTACTTGGAAGAATGGACAAAACCCATTGCTTTGAAGCAGATTTTCCTTTGCCATCAAGTTGAAAACTAATTTTCCTTTATTTTTTATTTTTCTCAAAATCATAAATCCAAATATGAACAAAGTCCTTGCTTGTGGATATAACCGAAGACCTCTCTTTTTTCTTTTTAGAATTCTAACTAAGGTCTGCCCTTCGTGATTCGTATAAGTGAATTTTAATTGTACGAATCATAATAACTAAATCTCTCTTTTTTTTCCTTTTTTTTTTTGACAATTATTTCATGTCTTTTTACCTCTTTTGTAGGCAACACGCAAGACTTCACAATTATTTCAAGTATCATTGCCCCTTCCACTCCCGACGGCAATGATGGCTTTCATCCTTGGCAGTGATTGCGTTCCTTTCACCCCAATGACTTGCATCCTTAGTAGTGATTGTGTTCCTTTCACCTCAATGGTTTGAATCATTTGCAGTGAATGTGTTCCTTTCACTCCAATAGCTTGGATCTTTAGTAGTGATTTTGTTCCTTTCATCCCGATGGCTTGAATCTTTGGCAATGATTGTATATGTGATTGTGTTCCTTTCATCCCAATATCTTGAATCCTTGGTAGTGATTGTGTTCTTTTCAACCCAATGGCCTGGATATGAATGCATTCCTTTCATCCCAATGGCCTTAATCCTTGGCAGTGAATGTGTTCCTTTCACCCCAATAGCTTGAGTCCTTGGCAGTGATTGTGTTCCTTTCACCCCAATGGCTTGGATGTGAATGTATTCCTTTCACTCCAATGGCTTTAATCCTAAGCAGTGAATGTGTTCCTTTCACCCTAATGGCTTGAATCCTTGGCAATGATTGTGTTCCTTTCACCACCCAACGGTTTGGATGTGAATGTGTTCCTTTCACCCCAATGGCTTTAATCATTAGCAGTGTATGCGTTACTCTCACCCCAAAGTGGTTGGCTCTAGTCTCTTTAAAGAGGCTTTTGTCACGTAATAACTTTAGCTTTCAAAAGGAGGCTTCTGCCAACTTCTTTAACTTATTTCATTATTATTGTATATTTTCTTTAACTAACCTTTTTTTTTTTTTTAGGCATTCTTATGGAAAAGACACTTGAATATCTTTTACATAACAAGAGGGATGTACTGGATAAATCTGGTCCGAAAAATAATTAGGCACAAATCTATCACTCATTGTCACCCATGGAGTTGGACCCTTACATTCCCTTACATACATCTTCCGAAGACTTGGTCTATACAAGAATCCGAAATAGTTGCGAGATTCTTGAGAAAGAGCACTCCAAATCAATTGGTTCATTCCCTGTCTCAATCCTCCGTCTGTTTTCTGAAGAGCTTGTTTGCTCTGAATTTAACACTCTTTTTAGGCGGATGAAAAATGAGAAATTAAGATGGGATAACTCTTTTAATGTTTGCGGAATTTCTGCCTATCTTGAATCCTCTATATGGACCTTTTGGTTAAATAATGTTTTTTTTCCCCCTACATTTCCCCCTACTTTGAAGAAGTCTGGGATTTATGCCGCAGTCTATATATTCCAATTTTCTTATGCCAAAAACATCTCCTTACACAAAGGATTTTTAGAGTGATGGTCGCCAAATATTAACACATTTCACACTATTTATGACGAACTTGGGAACTTCTTATGGGACCTTCATTGCATTAGTGGCCTTCCTATCCTTGGCAAGTTTTATGAAGAGTTCACCTCCTCCATTGGCATTTTATATTCATCCAAGACACCTAAGGTGTGTCGTGGTCTTTTCTACATTTATGCCAACTTTGTTCAATCCAAGAATTTTAACACCTGAACTTCCAAGTTTATTCATGAATCCCCAACTTCAAGTAGTGGTTTTCGATGGAAAGAAAACATTCTGATGAGGTATATCTTGCTGGCTTTTTAGCGAGTTGGCTTAATGGGTTTGTCTTCCCTCACTCTTATGGGGAAGTTCGTCCAACCACCTTCCATGTAGCCACCAAAATAGTTGGTGGTACTTTATTTAGCTTGGATATCCCCGTCCTTGCATATCTTTATCATTCTCTTAGTAAGATGGCATTATCACCTTTGCCTGGGAAGGAAAATATCCAAGGCCCTTTGCATTACTTTTTGGAAGAATTTCACTGTATTTTACTAAGACTTACTCTCATGGGGATCCTTAGTTAATTCATCTGATTCCCAATATGCATTTCATGCCTATGGGATGCCTTTAGGGTTACCAAGCGTGCCCAATAGTTTAGACTCCCAATCTCTGATCTGATATCACTAGTGCAATATGATACCAAAAGAATGAGAGTTCAGATCTGGCAAATTTTCTAGA